AACATTTATTTTAATATATAAAGTACTGGACCGGAATTTTTAAACTAAAAAGGTACATTTAGGTTAAAAAATAAAATAAAAATTTTATTTATCATAATTTAAAGGTATTACTGTTTTGTGTATATAATCTATCTATGGTCATATTATGAGTTATCTAATATTTCTACTACTATTAATGAAACCCTCATTCTGGATAGGTATTTAAAATTATTATACTTTTCTGTACCGAAATTATTTGGAACCGGTACTTTTATTTTTTTTCATCAAATAACCAGAACTGAACCGGAATCGTTATTTTATTTTTGGAGAACCCGTACTGGAATCGATACTGATAAATTCAAAAGGTTCCAGTCCCTGATTATAACATCACTTGTACTGACAGAATTGTAGTAGAATAGACATAATAGACGGAAAAAAAGTTCTTTAACACTACTTTATTTATTTTATTTATACCTACCTAAGCATCTATTATGACTAGCTTTAATTCCGTATACATTTTAGATTTCATTAATTCTGTTAATCGTTTTTTTATTGGGGAAAATGTGGTAACTTCGATCCAAGCGTGACGGACCCTACACCACCTTACACATAATTATAATATATTATTACATAAAATAATATTCGGGTTCATCTTAGCATTATGATTAGATCCTGGGAAAGCAATAGTTATTATTAACGATTATTTATAATATTTTAGCATAGACCACATATGGTAAAAGGGCCAACCTCTAAGGTTTATGATGCAATAGTAAAATATGTAGAATGGAAAAGTCCTCGGGTTTAGTAGGTAGATCTTAATAGTCTAATTTGGCACTATGACCTAACTACAAGATTAATAAAACCCCTCGTTGATCATAGAATAGGCCAGCTAGGGGTACACTGAAAATCCACTACTACACATACAGTAACGTGGGTATAGTAAATACTAATTTTGGAAATTGACCACACAGAAGGTGGGAGCGGAAGCACTATTCGCGAGGTACTAGTTAAGTAGAGGGGGCTTAGAAGCTCACTATATAGAGAACCCCGAACGGCCTATTTTTCAGACGGATTTCAGATGGTTTGCACAAGCACCACCACGCCGGACCATATTTAAAATTAATAATTAGTATATTCTAACCGACAGTATTTTTTGACTTGGGAAATAACCGAAAATATTATTCAATCATCGTCACATGTACGCGGGCTTACGACGCTATTCAAGTAATAAGGTTGTTTTTTTTATTGAATTAACGTATAGCTTAAGTGTAGATATTGGTATAATATCTAAATTAATGAGCATAATATATAGGCATGATAAATGATAACATAATATGAGATATTATAACACAACTTGTACCAAAGAATTGGAATAGAATACTAGAATAGAAATAATATACAGAGTTAAAATAAGAATTTAAACAACAGTGTTACCTAATAAGTTGGGGTTCATTTGGTATTAATGAAAGCTGCAATATGAACTTTATATATGGTGGTTTCTATTCCACTACTAAATTATTATTAGATTGGTGTAAAAGTGTATCACTGACCTCGTTTAGTTGCAAACGATGTACCTATATAGTATTAAAATCTCTTTGGATCCATGCTATTGATAAAATTCAATTTTTAGTCTACTAAATACTATACAAACTAAATGTATACTGGGTACCTATAAACTGCGTAAGTTTGGTTACCACTTTAACTTTTAAACTTTAAATATTACTTATATTGGTCTTAATTATTTTACTAGTTATTGTTTAGTCATTTACCTACCTTATACAGTTATACCTTATTTAATTTGTTAAGAATATATCATATTAAAATACTATGGTTGGATAAAATGGTGTTTCAAAATTATAGGAGAAAATCGGTAGGCACTAAAAAAAATTTAGTGTTTTCTTGATTATAAATATTATATTAATATGAATATACCAATATAATTCATGTCTGGTGTTTAAATCAACGCAATATATAGTACTATAGTAAGATGTTTAGTATATTAATGAATTAATTTAATTTTTAAAAAAGTGGTGAATAATGTGTAAGGTGGTACCTAACCTAACCTAACCTATGTTGAATCCATTTTACGTGGACGTAGGACTTTGTGCTTCGTCTTCGTCGAATAATGCCTCCATCCCGTACTTTAGTCATCGTACCCCCCCCCCTAGACTTTTTACAAATATACTATAATATGTACCAGTGGTGTAGCCAGGATTTTAAAATGGGGGGGGGGGGGCAAACCCAAAATCCTAAAAAAACAAATTCAACAATTAACAATAACAGTTCACATTTTAATTTTATTATAATTAAATTTAAATTAAACTTAATTTTGACCAATGAGATTTTGAAGACAAAACTATGATTACTTCTTCTTCAGCTGTGATTTTTTTGGATTTGTTTATCTTTGCCATAGCTCCATTAATAAGTCTCTCTTCGTTCATTGTTGATCGTAAATAATCCTTCAATAATTTAAGAGTCGAAAATGTGCGTTCCGGTTAACCTAACCTAACCTAATTGTAGTACCTAGTAAATTATAATTTTACATTAGGTAATACATTTGTACAATTTGCTCCTGGAGGAAATATTGTGGTATTGCAGTGGTGGCCCACCAGTTACCACAATAATAATATTAACAACCGATTTGATAAAAACTGATAGGAAAAAAAATTACTATCAAACAAATTGATGAGGATTAAGAGCGAATTCAACGAATTTTTATACAAAAAATTAAAACATTGATACGACCGATGGCTTAGGCCCCCCTTGGCTACACCACTAATATGTACTTACATATAATTTTAATTATTTATTGGGAACAAATATAATTTAGAGCCCCCTAGAATTTTTCAATTTTTTTTTTCAGAAATCTATGTAGCTAGGTAATACGACAAATTAAGAACAATGTTGCAAAAATTAATTGCCAGAAATCATTAGTTTTTATGTTATAGCCTTACAAAGTTCACAATTTTCGGTGTTTTTACGCATACGTACAACTTAACAATTTATTTTATTATGAGTTTTTAACTTTTCTGTTTACTGAACAATCGTTTTTTACATTATTATAGATAAAGCGTGTTGACCAACAAATTGGAATTGTTATCGAAACCATACACTGCCTGCTGGCTGCTAGTTAAATGAATGTCGATCTTTGGTTACTAAAACCAATTACTAATCTTAGTCCGTAATATTAAAAAGCACCGATAGAAGCACGCAGTGCCGGCTCGTGATATGGTGCACAGGCGCACGTGAACCACCCAAAAAAATAAAAAAAAATTATAAAAAATAATTAGATTCCTATGCTAACATATTATAATTCATCATTATGCACATGGTCTGTAATGAAAAAAAAGTTTTTCATGCTGAGAAGTGTGTCTATAAACAATTAAATAAATATAAGCTAAAAAAAAATATGCCTCGACCAGGGACTGGAACCGTACCGAAGTTGACCGGTTTTGGACCGAAACATTTTGAAAATCTTAGGACCAAACCCCTTAAATACATTTTTTAAAAAACCTAAATCGAAACCTATATTTTGATGTAGAGGTTTTTAAGGTTTTTAAGGTTTTGTTTGGTTAAAAAATCGAATAGATATTTTATCTGTGGTGTAAGTAGGTAATAACTAATTATTAGTAGGTAATGATAAATAATTATAAAATCGTAGACCTATAAAACTTTAAGAAATAAGAAAATTATTATGTGTACAACAGAATTGTCATAAAAGAAATACCAAAAATCCAAATTCTAATTTCCATGTAATCGATTTCAATATTATTATTGAATCGCAAATCGCAATTCGCTATAGCTGATGTAGAATTTCTGAAAATAATAGCGATTTAGACGTTTAAAAGTGTTTTAAAATTCAGAGTAAGTTGTCATATAAATTATAAATTATAATTGTTTCCTTTCTAATATGCCTGCATTGATAATATTAGATACCTAAACCTAATTCGGGTATCGTTAACTCTTTACTCTATACGCTCTGTACGACACTTCGACTGTGCCTACTACTGAAGTGTTCTATCGTCTTCGTTACCGTATTATATATTGTTTCAATTTACATTTTTATATATAAGTTATACATTTTTATATCAAACTGAAACATGGGTCGCCCAAGAGTGTCAACAATTCATTCTTATTTTTTTTTTAATAATAATTTTTTTATTTATTTTAATTTATTACTTTTAATTATTTATTTTTTTATAATATTACCTAAATTGTGAAATAGTTACACTTAATTATAAATACCTGTCACTAAATAGAGGTTATTTAGTTATTAAAATGTAAATTTTTTTATTTAGTACTTTATCGATTATATAAAAAGAAAAGTCAGATAATAAGGGTTAAAACCGGTATTAACTGAAACCGAAATTTAATATTTTTAAAAACCAAAATAAAACCAAAACCAAAATTTTGGGTTTTTGAGAACCGAAACCTAAGCCCGAAATCATAAAGGTTCCAGTCCCTGGCCTCAACCAGTCGGTTAGTAATAAATGGGTGTTTGGACCGCATTTAATCTGTGCACCGAACCAATTTTTTTCGTATTGCGATGTCGCGTCATTCGCCGAAACGAGAACACTGTACATTATCCATTAATTGGGTTATTATATTACATTATTTTGATATGTGCCTATAACAAATGAACATTTTTACCATCTTATATAGGTATTTTATAGTTTATACATTTCTTTTGCACCACCTTAGGTGAACCTCACATGCCGCCACTGGAAGCACGGTCACGACGTGAACTTGCTGAACTAATTCCTACTCATTGACGTCCGCACAGCAGTTGTTAGCTGCTTAGGTGAGTCAATATAGTTTTATTTTTATCTTTATTTCGTACTAATTTTTCTTGTAATTGCGTGCTGACGAATGTTCTTGATTTTATTTTGGCAGGTTTCAATTTATTAACTATATTATAATATCTTTCATAAACAGTATTCTTGAACTCCGATACACACAGTATAAGTAGGTATTCGTGTGTCACGCTTAACCCGTTTAAATAACTGTTATTTTTCACAGGTATGGCGCTACAGAAAATTTGGACCAACATCAAAGCTATTTGTTTCATAGTGCTAGCATGCTTCACAGCCCTATTAAAATTCGTGTTGAAGTTCCCCCTTGGCATTTATCGAAAATTCATAAATCCTACCGGTAAGTCTACTTGGATTCAATATGATTGGATTTAACACAATATCGATCTCACTGTAATTCTATTTTATTTTTAAATTATAATACTTACTTCACTTAACCTAAAACATTAGGTATAACTGTATAAGAACTCCATTGTAAAACTGTTGTAAAATCGAATTTACTTATCTACCTATTATAATGGTGCAGCGTATTAGCTGTACCATACTTGTTACATATAGATTGTGACTTAGATCATATGCATAGTAGTATTATCTTATTATGTGATCTAAGCAAAGTAATTTTTATTTTTTTATATCATGAAAAATTGAAAATAACATAATTACCTAATTTCATATCCTTACAAATTAAATTGTTCCATTATTAATGGACGATATTACTTGTAATGGGGTAGCTTCCGCTGGTATATCTATTTTATATTTATATTTTATTTTATGATATTCGTAGTTATAAATCTTTAACCCCACTATATAGCTTTTTTATGTGAATTATTTTATTTATGCTATAAATAGGTTTAGTGAGCAATGTAATGCATATATGAAAGTATATACCTATCAATTAACTTAAATTTGTTTTATGGATCATTGGCTAGGCCCACTCTGCCAAAATCTGGCTTCGAACCATAATTGTTAAATTATTCAACAATCAACATACATGAACATACATTATATAGCATGCATTATTTTTCACACCGGTTTAGCCTAGTGAATTTCTAGATTAAATTTATGAGTTATATTACCTCTCAATATTATTAAATTACATAAATAAATATACCTACGTTATACACTAATTATTTGTCAAGTTAATAATAACAGTTTACAACGATAGATAAAGTATATAATATATATATATATTTTTTTTTATTAGCTGTCAACCAAAATGTATTACAGCTCATCTATTAATTTAATATACCTACATACAAAATATAATGTAGGTAATAAATATTAATTATAATTATAAAGTGATATTAATAATAATTGTGAGACATAGTTTCTCCTATAACTTTAAAATTAATATAATAGACGTTTTGGTTTTTGAATTGAGCAACATTTTTTTGTTCAAGATAAAGTCTTTACTGCTTGAGTCAATGACAAAAATATTGATATTTTTCCAGATGCCCATCAAAAAATATACAAAACCGTTGCGGATATTCCAGGAAAAATATCATTTCCTATAATTGGAACCAGGTGGATCTATTTGAAATTTGGTTCGTATAAACTGAATGCCGTTCACTTGGCATACGAAGGTATAGTTTAACAATAAATCTTAATAGGTATATAAAAAAATTAGGTATATGATTATTTAATTTGGGGCCCACGCTCAGTAGTTACTCATCACGCGTGCGATTGATGAAAAAACATTATTGGTAACCTACATAATATTATCATCGTTGACAGGAAAAACCATCCCATGTGCAAAATTACGAATTTTCAGGAGACCAAAAAACGTTTTAAATAAAAAGGTAGACCCCATAGGAGTTATTTCATAAACAATTTATAGTTGATAACGCATATCTAGGAGGATTTTTCTACGATGAAGATAGCACATAGGGGGATTTTATTCATAAATAGATTATTTTTTTCTGAATCCAGAGAAACCAAATCCTCAAAATCATAAATTAGGCACATAGGAGGTTTGTTCCGGTCGGCTATCAACGACGATATTATAATAATTAGTATAATATCTAATATGTACATTGAAGTAAGGCAACAAAATATTTATCATCTATAGGGAATATTCTGTATGCATGATAATGAAATATTATAAGTTTTTTATTTTTATATATTATTAAGCAGCAAATTAAATTTTAATCAGTGTTAGAATAGAATATCTTAGCCTATATTTCCAAGTTATCTTTGCCTCTGTCTTAATAACTCTGCATAATGTATAGAAATCCAGAAGTTCCAATTTTGTATTATTAGATTAAAAATTTGAGTGAATTGACCTATAATAAGACATAAATGTAACAACATAACTTGTGTTTTCTCATTGGTTTTTGTGCAGTATTTTAATTTTTAAGTTAGTTATAAATATGTAAAATATTAATATTTTATAATGCTCAGAATTAACTTAAAAACAAAATAAATTATTTTAGTTCATTAAGTTTATTCTCGCAACCGTAATTATTGTTCCGTTCAAATTTTATTAAAGTCAAACTCTTTTATTAACTAATTGTTTTGTGTCATATTTCTTTTAATAGGTTAAACTTGATCGGTCAATACTATTAAATTAACAATATCTATACTTTTTGCAAAGCAGTCCAGTTTAGAATTTGTTTTTCAACGCAATGAATAGTGCACTGTAATGAAAATAATAAAAATAAACTTGGGTCTAAAATGTATTTGAAAAACAATATGAAAAAAGGCAAAACATAGTTTAATTTTTAATTTTAGTTATTAAGACTTCAAATTTTTAAATTAGGAAAATGATATTATACCATATTTAATACATTATTTTTTAAAGATTTACAAATTCAATAAGCATACATTAATTCACATATATTAAACATTGTAGCAGGGACTGGAACCGAACTGAAAAGAACCGGTTCTGGAACCGGAACCTTCAAAATATTTAGAACTGGAACTGGATCCAAAACCTTTATTTTAATAAATAAGGACCGGAACCAAACAGGAATTTTTAAATTTAATAAGTTCTTTAGGTTCAAAAATAAAATTATTTTATTTATCATAATTTAATGGTATTTTAGTTTTGTGTATAAACTATGTATGATGATATGAGTTTTCTAATATTTCTCATACTATTAATTAAACTCGCATTCCGGATAGGTATTTAAAATTACTATACTTTTCAGTAGGTACCTAAATTATCTGTAACCAGTACCGAAATTATATTTTGGAACCTTAATTTTTTTTATCAAAAAACAGGGAGTGAACAGTTATTTTATTTTTGGAGAACCAGTACCGGAACCAAAACCGGTACAGGTCCCTGCATTGTAGTAAGCCTACTAGGTAACTATAGGATCAAATAAGAACCCAATTAACGTAATGATTTATAATAATGTGTTATTTAAAAATTAAAAACTATAACTTTGGGTCTATTTAACTTTGTATGTGTAAATATTGGCACAGGAGTAAATTTATGGGGGCTTAGGGAGCTTAGCTCACCATAATACCTCTGAAGCCCCCTTCCCCTAATACTTCCGGAATTAATCTCGTAAGTATAATAAATTATGTTAATACGTATTCATTTTTATTTCTAGCCCCTTCCCGCCCCCAGAACCATACGCTTGTGAATATTGGGATATATCATTACATTTCATTATATGAATTAAGTTCATCAGTTATTAATTTATAAATATTTTCACAGCTATGTTTTCCCGGTTTGGGGATATTATTCGTGAAGAAGCTTTGTGGAACTTACCAGTTATAAGTGTCATACACAGAGAATGTATTGAAATAGTACTTAGACAAAGCGGAAAGTACCCTATCCGACCTCCAAATGAAGTAACTGCAAGCTACAGAAGGTCCCGACCAGACCGCTACACAAATACAGGGGTTACTAACGAGTACGTATTTGTGTATAAAATTGATACAATTGAATTCAAGTTACTTAATTTTAATTCATGAGAACGCAGATTCAGAGTTATAATTTAAGCATAGATAATAGGATGATAAAATGTTCTTGAAAATGAGACATCGGCGATACGAGTAATAATTATTATAGAATATAAATATGAATTAAATCACAATTATTTTTTGAGTAATTTAAGTTCAAAGTTTTATATTATGTTAGCTACCTACCAAATTGTTATTTTCAATATAATAATATAATCTGTACTAGCACAACTATACTAATGACAAGTATGTACACCGTACACGTGTTGCAGACAAGGTGTAGTTTGGGCTTCATTGAGAAATCAGTTGACGCCCAACCTTACCTCCCCTGGGGCGATAAAAGACTTCTTACCGGAAATCAAAAGCTTATCTGATGATTTCATACATATGCTCTGCCAAGTGAGGAACAAGAATGACGTGGTGGAACGCTTTGAAGGCTTTAGCAACATAATGGGCCTTGAAAGTATGTGTGATCGGACCATGCTGTTGGCAAACGTTAATCTTTATGTTATTTTTGTGCTAATTCCATGACATGTTATCTATCGTAGGCGCTTGTATGTTGATTTTGGGTAGAAGAATTAATGGATTTTTAGACGGAGTGGTTAGCGAAACAGCTACGAAGCTGGTAGACGCCGTGACCAAGCAGTTTCGGACATCCCATGAAGCCTTTTATGGGCTGCCGCTCTGGAAAATAATAAAGACCAAGGCGTACAAGGAATTCATAGCAAGTGAAGACACCTTCTATGAGCAAGTTCAACTTGTAGAAAAGTCACGAACCAAATAAACACATTGTGATTTTTTCGAATTTTTCTAGAATTATGTCTGAAATCGTAGACTCAGTGTTGAACGACCAAACACAGTCAGGCACATCCGAAAGCAGAGTGTTTGGGTCCATATTACGGTCTACAAACTTGGATATGAAAGAAAAGAAAGCCATGATTAACGAATACATCCCCGCAGGAATAAAAACAGTAATATTATATCTTCATACGGCAGTGGTGTCCCAAGTTGGTAGGGGGTTAGTGGTTATATGCCCCGCTCCCATTGTCCCATAAAGCCCTTTATTATTTAAATGTATTATTACTTAACCCCCCCCCCCTTCCTATTAAAAATTCCTGGTCACGCCCCGCCACTATCAAATGGCTTACTATAATTATTCACAATTTTATCTTTTACGCAAACGACAATGTTGAAACTTAAAACTAATAATGAGCGATAGTAAAAATGATAATAATAGTTTATTTAGTTTGCTGCAGTAGCTGAGTGCAATCATTAATAATAATAAATAATGTATTAGTGTAGTACCTAGGTACTAGTTTTAATCCTTTTTGACATAATATATTGATTATAATTATATTATAGATACCTATTATTTACCTATCTGCAGGAATATTGGTACCGATCGATATGATAAGGCTGGAAGAACTTAGATTCCCAAAACTATGTTAATCGCTGCATCAAGCATCCAAATCGGGTCTCCATCAAGCAAATATAATGTTTTCTGCGATTTTGAAATTAAATCCCATGAAAATTATTTAAAATTTCGTTTTTCTAGTACAGTATTTCTAATATATGGTATGAGCTCATAGGTACAATAATAGTTGCTGTATTTCCTGTGTAAAATGTGGTAAACAATACAGGGCACACCTTCAGGAAAATCAATGTAATTTGAAAATTTTTAAAAATATTCAAAACATTCATAACATTAATATTTTTTACCTACATAGTATATAACTTGGCATAACAAATACGTCATATATTTTATAGACGTAGATACCTTAAACTAGTGTTCTTAGAATATTTTATCTACATTTAACTAGTATATAGCCTGTCGTGTCCTGCAACGAATTTAAGAAGTGCAGAGTGCTGCAGCTGCTTTATGCATTTACATTTATACTACAATAAGCTGACCTTAATTTCTACCTGCAAACGAATCAATAAATATATAAACGTTATAAAGTTGTGTACGCACGTTTTTTAGTTCGGAAACACCTTGGTGTTTTTATTGTACCTGATCGCCAAACATCCGGAAGTACAGGAAAAGTTATACAACGAGATATCACGGTTGGCTCCGGCTGGTACACCTATTACCAATGAACATTTAAAAGAAGCCAAATATTTGAATGCATGTATAATGGAAGCTCACAGGTAATCATGTTAATATCATGATAAAAAAAAATAGTTATTGATACGCTTATTAATACACATCGTGTTCTCCAGAGTTAAACCCACTGCTCCATGTATTGCAAGAGTGTTGGAATCGGATATAATATACGACGATTACTGTTTGCCGAAAGGGGTAATATTTTGGTGTCTTGTTTTTTTTTTTTTATATAATTATAGTTTTGCGAGTAGGTATACGAATATTTTTTTTATTTTAGACCGTCGTGTTGATGCACACGGGGTTGGCGTGTTTGGACGAAAGGAATTTCAAAGACGCGACCTCGTACATCCCGGAAAGATGGATGGACAAGGAGACGTACGATTCACTATTCTTGATAACACCATTTGGCTGTGGCAAACGAATATGTCCGGGGAAGCAATTCATAGAATTACAACTCAAAATTGTCTTAGCAAAGGTCAGTAAAATATAACGTTTACACCTAGTTGAAAATAAGAACTATTAAATTATAACTTTGTTTTAAAGATGGTCAAGCAATTTCACATCGGCTTTGAGGGAGAACTGAAAACTGAATTTGAATTTATTTTGACACCCGTTGACGCGAATTTTATTCTACATGATAGGAATTAATTTATGTTATTAAATACTTAATTAAACTAAAAATGCTATAATTTAGTACTACACCTAGGTATATTAAATAATAATCAATATTATAACATTCACTTCATTATCATATATCGTTCAACGACAACTTTAACCCTATCACATTATATCAATATTTTTTTTAATTATGATTTAGTATATTTATGTCATATATATATATATTATGTATATAATTACATCATATTATAATATAAGCTAACCATGTTTGTATATGTGGCGTGTGGGCCATACGTGTGTGTGTTTTTATAATTATTATAAAAAAAATACATACGTAGATATTCATTTTAGAGTTCATTAAATTCGTTTTTATTTTCCCCTTCAAATGCATGCAAGTAATTTATTTTTGTAATATTCTTGTGTTAATTCAATATTATAATTATTTACATGAAGCCCATTCATGATGTAGGTATAATAGGTACATGTTTCATTGTATAATTTAAAATTTGTATCCTTTACCAAATTCATATTGTTATTATTTATAAATCATAATATAATTATATACCTATCAACAATATTTGATGCTCAGTTATATTCTTAAACTGTTATAATAATAGTTTAATTTATTAAAAAAGTATACCTTCTGTTTGCCAAATAATCTTTATTTATAAAATATAATAACAAAATAATAATAGACATTGTAACAAAAAACTATGTACCTACCTACTGTCTTCCATTAAATAAAATATTATACATTGAATTATAGTTGTCAATTATAATTGAATCATTACTTTCCTTAATTACAAACTTTCTTAATACAATAAATAATGTTTATTTATGAAAAACACAATATAATGAATATTTTATGTATTTCAATAATATATTATATAGTAATATGGACCACTTTGGCACACGTATATTTTGTATCAGATCAAGTACTGATATTTGTTATTATACATTTTGTTAAGCAGACAAAAAAATAGTTAGGTACACACGTACAATTAGCTATGTGGTGGGACTTCGTGATAATGTAGAAAACAAACATAAGGTAAGTCACTGACTGGGATATATACCTAAATAGGTACATAATATTATATTGTAGTGGAATAAAAATATGAAAAGATAAAAATGGAAAATTACATGTAAAAATTATAGAAAAAGGAAGTGTAGGGGATAAGGTGATGTAATAGGTACATAAAAATATAGTATGAACGGGGAGATCGATGGATTCGACTATGGCACCTCTAAGAGTGAGACGTCACGTTAGCCCTACTACTATAGTGCATGTGTTAAACGGTAAAATAAATAAATATTTGTTTAAATAATAAAATATATGATATACCTACTATGGATGTATATATTATGTGTTTACATATATATAATCGATATAGGCGTGAGAAACTACAGAGCATACATAATATTATGTTTGGTTATAAAATGGACTTTATTTATATGTCTACCTCAGATATTGCTAACCACATTGGTCTAGTATGGTTTGTTACTCGTCGGAAGTATCCTGAAGTAGTGTCCGCTTAATTATAAGTTAATAAACGCTACGATACAATGTCCTGAGTTTATATCACAAATTGGTTTTAGAGTCCTTGCTCTTATTCTAGAACTAAATCCAGTTTTCATGTTCCACGATTAGTTCTAGGAATTATGTAGGTAAATAACAGTTGAATGCCGCTTGTCTAAGTCATATAATGAATTAGTGTATATAGATTCTGAGTGGAACGATGAATGTAATGATTTTATAATGATGAAAATAAAAATTAAAATTAAGGAAAAAAGAGAATTTTTATGCAAAATCGGTTTTCGAGGAAATCGATTTTGGTCTTTGGTGTAACTTTAAAACAAATGACCGTAGATAAGTGAAATTTTCACTGGTTGTTTATATTTTCATTTTCTATACACGATAACATTTTCAAAATATTTTGATTTATTTTGAACTGTTTAGGGACATTTTCAATTTCCAATTTTATTAGTTTTTTTTTTATGAATATCAATAAAAATGTATTAGTTGGTTAAAAAGTTTGAAAATTTAATAGAGGGCTTCTAGTATATGGTTTCAAAGGCAGATGAAAAATATTAAAAATCATTAGTCACAGTTTTTTTTTTATAAGCATTTAAAGTTCAAAAATTGACAAGATATGGAAAAATCATGAAAATTAGCAAATTGTTTTGAGTTAAGAACTCGTAAAAATTTTTCTTTTTAAATCTAAGATTTCAAAACGTGATACAAGATTCCTTATAAGATTATCTACCTTTATTAAGAAATAAATGCCTATAAGAAATTCAAATTTTTACAATATTGGATATTCACTCGATTTCTCATATAGCGATTTCCTTATTTTATTGTAACTCAAAAACGAATAACTGTAGATACATGAAAATTTTACTGAATGTTCATATTAGCATTTCCTATACACTGTTCAAAATATTTTGACTCTTTTTGAGCTGTTTACGGACATTTACAGTTTTCATTTTTTTTAGTTTTTTTTTTCTATAAATTTCAATAAAGTTTTATCTGTTGGGCCAAAAAGTGTAAAAATTTAATACAAGGCTCTTGATATATTGTTACAATATCAGTTGAAAAATATTAAAAATACAAAAGCACAATTTTTTTTTGTATAAGCTTTTAAAGATCGAATTTTGACAAAATTAATCAAATTTAAAATTGAAATAATTATTTTGTCGGTAAAAATTTACAAAATATTCAACTTTTATATCTAAGGATTTCAAATATTTAAAAATAATATTATAAAACTAGTTTGTACAATTGGTTGAAAATTGGATTTTCTCAGTACTTTTCTGAATATGCGGGCAAAAATTATAAAAACAGAAGAAAAGTAGGAATGGTTATGACTTATGCTACAACTGCTTTCATGAAAATAAATTTTTCGGGAATTCAGAAAGGAATACTTGACATTTTCACCAAATATATACCTAGTAACTGAATATTTTGGCATTTTACATATTTTTGATTCAATTTGTGTTGATTAAGAAGATAACTGTATAGAGGTGGGCTAAAAAAATACCAGAAACTATTTAAAAGCTATACAACTTTCAAAACAATTAATCATTTATTTGAAAAAACATTAATTATTCAAAGGTAGTACATAATTTAAGATACCTATCTATTAAATTTCATTGTATTTAACATGTGTACTGTCTGCATATATAATATTTAAAATAAGTTTAATTATAATTTCCCTTAAAAAATTATGTAAATAGCTACTTACAGCCTATTTTCTTTTAGCATGTTTAAAATAGTTACAATTAAAATGTACAAAAGATTGTTTTGAATTGTGATCTAAAACGTAAAATTACTTTCACTGCTGTAAATTGTTTTCTTTAAGGGGATTCGATGCAGCGTATTTATTTCATGATTTAGACCTAAAAACCTGACAAAAATACGCCTACTTAGAATTATCAGATTTCAATTCTGTAAAAAGATTCGAGTTCATTGACATTTTCCTAGGTTAGGTGGAATCAATTTCGATATTTTTTTTAGAATTCACGTTAAATCATATATCGATTTCTCAATTTTTGAAAATTGTTTGTGTCTTTCTTTAAAAAGTTAAACAGTTATTCAAAAATCGACTCCCACAAAATAGAAAAAAGAACGATGAATTCAAATACCTATGTTTACAGAACTAAAATCCGATTATTCTAAGTTATCGTATTTTTGGTCAGGCTTTTAGGTCTCAATTGATTGAAATTAGTTTCTCGTTGGAACAAATATTTTAGTATGTGACATGTGCATGCGGGTGCGAACCACTGATTCCGAACGTATCTACGCACACTAATGATCATTTACTTCGCACACAAACACACTGCGAAACGACTATAATACATCGAATTGCCTATACACGACCCCTTATTAAATCACCGGATCGAATCCCCTTAAGGTACAATATTTCCCTGCAATGTCTAACAATGGAATAGTATGGTGTTTAGACACTAACCATGTCTGGACTAGTAGTTAATGAGGTCCACATGGAAAACATACTTTACATTTAATATGTTGTTCTAGACATATATAATTGTCATTAAAATAATTTTTTTATATATTTTGGTAGTGACTCGCCAAATATAAAAAAGAAAAGAGCGCCTTAAAATTCACTCATAGGCACAACAACACGCAAGAAAACTGGCCGGGTGTAGGAAGCAACAAGATTCACAAAAAAACATTTCTTGAGAAAGCAGCCAATTTGATATTAAATAATGAAGTTTGAAAATGCAATTCTATATTTGAAAAATTTCAGGTAAATATGCATCCTATTTTTTTCAAACTATTATGAACAATATCAACAGAGTGTCAGTGTTATGATCAACTCAACTAAAAATTAGCAAGCTAATTCAATTATTTAGCAGACTATTTTAACATAAATGTTATCTATAGTTCAAAGACTTAGCTATAAAATTATGTCACAACTTTTAGATCCGTCTTTATTTCTCTACTTGGCTTTTTTATTTTTAAAACAGAGCTTGACCGGACATAATATTCAATACGTTTCTTTATGAGCATACCTAGCACAAATGTATAATCCAAAGTATGACATGCGTGCACTTGTATGTACACAGTAAATCTTATCACAACGAAAACCCTCTACATAATAACACAAATATATGCATTTTATAGAAAAATATATGAATACATACATAATACATTTGTATACAAAACTTAGTGTGCTGAAGAAATTTGGTATTAAAAAAAAGAATTCTTAAAAAATTTAAAATGAAAATATTGATGTATACATCAAGACACAGAAAGATACATAATAGTTATTGTTCATTGAATAACAGGGTACATGCCTATTGGCATCATTTTACATACTATGTAAACAATGTTAAATGACCCAATAATTATCATTGTAGGCAGTTATCATGTTGAAAAGTAAGAGAACTCAAAATACAGTTTATATTGTGTTCTAAATTTATGAAGCATGAAATAAGTTTATAGCTAATCATCAATATTCTATCTCTATTGATAACATTTTTCAATTTTATTTGTTCATTAGAAGTGA